AAAGTAAACATCGCTGCGACGACAATAAAATTTTATTAATGTTGTGTCAAAATTTCCCTCAGAATTTCGCTGCACATGACATGAGCTTGACGCAACTCGCTCAAATTAGCATTTTTGTCAGATCGCTTTATGTTCTTTCTGACCAGCACGAAAAGGCAATTTTCCTCTTACCTTTTATTTCGTGACATTTTTGTCATATCAACTTCTCTTTAAAACTTCTTTATTATTCTTTATTTGATCATATTGACGCTGGAAAGTTTTTTTTTTCTTTTTTCTGTCACTTGTCAGCAACAGTAATTTATTTTGGATAGTAGAGAGGTAATAAGACCGAGGCGATTTATTTATTTTACAGGCAACAGACAAGTTATATAATTTTGCTTCTGATCTTAATTGAAGTCAAGTGTTTTTATCTCATCAATATAGCTTGTATTTTTATTAGTTTAAGAAAACGGTCATTCTTTATGGGTTAAGGGGGAGGGGTGGAAATGTGAAGGGATTTTGTTTGTATCACAATAGAATTTGCCAGATCTCTCCCCCCCTCCCTCCGCCCCACTCATAAGACACTGTAGTATTCTGATGATCCCCCTCATTGGCAGTCAATTTACTATAGTCTCCCCTTAACTCCTAAACTCCCATGGGTGATCAAGGCAGAATTTCTCCTTACAATATCAATACAATATCAGCTAGATAGGTGATGAGAATGAAGAAAATTATCAATTTGGGGATAATTAAATGATCCAATACTTAATTCTCTAAATAAACATTATGAGAATTGTATGGTTGACACTAAGGAGAATCAAAAATTTGGTCTGGGAGTTACAACGAAGGGTTAAAACTTTGTTGAGGACGACTGATCGCCTTCCGTTCCCCTAAAAAATTTTTTGATCTCCCCAAAACTAATCTAACCCCCCCCCCCTCTTCTTATGCAATTAGTAAGGACCAGTCCTTGAAGAAAATTTCAATCCTTAACCAGTTCATTTTATTGAGAATAAGGCATTTTTTTTTCGCAACAAAACGTATTGTGTTAGCTTCTCGTTTATTGCTAAAACCAGCTGCTATCGTCAACTCATTGCTTACAGAGGCTACTGAAAAATCATCAATTTGACACCAGTACAGGCAGTTTTAATTAATACTAGCATTAGCAGTTTATGATATCACCCTAAGGACATCAATGTTTGTTGTTAGAATATGCCTATCATCGAACACAGACAGTCAAAAGCCGTCGTAGCTACGCGCCTGAAGTACCGTTTTATCTATCATTATGCAGTTATTATAAATTATCAACGTTATTTTTTGACTAAAATCACACTTCTGATTTCAAAGTGGAAACCTGGTCCTGGATCCTTCAGCGAAGAATAACGTGATAAATAACTTAGAAATGATCTATCTTAGCTTAAAATGTCCGCGTTCGAATACGCGGGAGGCCAATCGCATCAGCGACGTGACAATTTTCCCTCCCAATTACGGTTCCTATGTTGACTTGCGGAGCAACTCTGCTCCTCCGTGAATAATGACATAGTAAAACATTTCTAAATCCTTTTCGAAAGTCAGAGTTGAATATCGCATAAATGACAGGATCAATGACGCTGTTAGCATGCCCCAAAAAATAGCCCATAAATGCCAAAGTCTTTGGTGCACCGCAGGGAAAGTCCTCCTCGCCAAAGAACCGGATAAATTGAGTGATGTACACTGGAAACCAGCACACTGCAAAAAGAATTACGACGGCAAGAAGCATTTTCAAGACTTTCTTTCGGGATTTGTTCGATCGCTGCTGGTTTTCGGAAGTTTGATTTCCCGGTACTTTTCTTACCCAAAGTTTGTAAATGACGCAGCTGTACAGAATTGACATGGTTAGTAGAGGAAATAGATAAAAAAACACAAACAGAACGATTGTAAAGGCTTTGTATCCTCCTTCGATGAAAGCTGGTTCCCATATCTCTACGCAGGTCCATCTTTGATTGCGTTCAAGGTACACAATTTTTTGGGCGTAAAGCGTCGGTGAATTAGCCAAGATACCCACAAACCAGATCAGTGCTATTGCACCGTACGTTTTCTGAATAGTCACGAACGTCTTCATAGGGTACATTACTGCTAAGAAGCGGTCAACAGCGATAACTGTCAAACTCAAAACAGAGCTTGCGATCGACATAGCTTGGCTGAATTGGATTATCTTGCACAATAAATCGTACAAGACACCATTTGACCAATTTATGCCGCGTCCCGTCGCGAGAGCTTTTACAGCGACCGGCATAGTGAAAGTTGTAATGAAAAGATTTGCCACTGCCACATTTACTATCAAATAATTCGTGACAGTTCGCATTTGTCTGTTCAGAATGACAACGCATATGACCAACACGTTACCGATGAAGGAGCCGAACATGATGATGAAGTAAGCTATACACTGGAAGGCTTTCTCTGTTGACGTGTAAGGCTCAAAAGAACATGGATCTCTCTCAGTGGAATTCGTTCTGTTTGGGTCAACTTTGGCCATCATTTGTGGACGAAAAGCGTGCCTCGATCCAACTCTAACTTGCACTAATTTGTAATTAAAAGGAAACGTTTTCGAAGTTGATTAATAAGAAGCTGCTAAGAAGATCTGAACACCGAACTCTTTTAAGTCTGTAAACTCCCCTCTTCATTCAAAACTTAAAATTGGTCTCACACCGTCCTTTGTTTGGTGGAGTGTTTTCTTCTGTCGCACTTTGTAATAATCGTCGCTCTTTGTGACAACACCGTTTGCACTTTAATTTGTAACAAGACTTGCTCCAATTCGTTATTGAATAAGCTGATGCAATATGTAATAACACTTAATTGTAATAAAAACTGAGGACCCAAGAGGACCCAATGATAGCTGTTATTCGTGACAATAACGCTGATGTTGATATTAAAGAGACAGAAAATATTGCTAATAGTGATATTAGTGATCGAGACCGTAATAATAAAGGACGAAGACACCTGCTGCGGCGCTCCGGCTTTAAGATCTCCTCGCGAGAATGCAGATATCAACTCCAACTATGCAGACATAAGTCGGTAATAACGGTTTCTTGTATCAGAAATCAGCAGCTATCCACAATACCAGGCTCTACGTGATTTTAGGGAGTCCTCAGGGCGTGAAATTTGTAGTCATCATTCGAAACCAATGTACAAAATCGATCGCGCAATCAATGACATCTTCATATTTTTTGTCAGTCAACTCTCCCATTAAGGACAAATGAACTTGAAACTCATAACTTTTCTTTAACCCTTTCACCCCTAATTAAGATATCAGTATAAATTATCTGGAAAGTCTATCTTTCGTTTCCTATAGTTCAGATAATGGGAAAGAAAGGGCATAATTGTCAGGTTATTTTTTAAAAAAACTAAACCCTACCTCAGAGGATAGATAACTAGAATCAGTTCAAAAGATGTATGTCTGTCGAACTGCCCCCTCATAAACTGCAGTTTTTCCATCATTCTTTCTGTAGCATGTAGCCGCATCGAAGCAAAACCAACACTCTTGTCATTCCTATTGTAGATCTGTAGGTAGATATGTGTATTTTCCCCTCAATTTCCTTCCGCGAGAGACTAGGTGGATGCGACTCTAAAGTTGTCAAAGCTTTTGGAATCGATTTATTTTCGTGTACGCGTCTGTATCAAAGTTCAGCATGTAGCTTACTCCTGGAGCCCGTCTCTAAAATGACCCAAGAACTTTACGGGCCTAAATCCGCATCTTGTAAACTAAACCTAGGAAATCGATGTATCGCCGACCTTAGCTCCAATACCAATAATTTTTTTTTATTTCCGGGTATCTTTAATCTTTCAGAGATAGAGCTATCGATATCTCAACCTTAAATATATATAAACGAGATCAATGAAAATCATCTTTTCGGGACATACTGTCGGGCTCTCACTTTATTCGCTGGATGACACTGTTTATATGATAAGAATTGTACATGTATCTCGATTTGTTATTGCTTATCATCTATTGGAGAGCAGATGCATAGGTGACGTAATCATTCACAACATGTTGCTTTTTATCATATAAAACAAATAGATTCATTCGCCGTGGGTCTATTCAGTAATAGATCACAGAAGACGTCATGATTTGGTAGGAACATCAGTGACTGCACCTCTTGTGCCACATTTTGAAGTCATCTCTGATCATTATTCACCACTTGCAAGGTTTATTTAGATCCAAAATTATCATTAGTTCCCAGTTGGCTTGATAGCTCAGTTGGTAGAGCGCTGTACCGGTATCGCAGAGGTCATGGATTCAAATCCCGTACGGGTCTAAATTTTTTTAAAGTCTCATTTCAACTACTAGTTCAGTAGTGTTCATAGCTCATCTCTGATCTTTTACTCTACAGGACGCAAGGCAACATAGAATCTATTCGGATAGGTGTTATACAAGCATTGATTTTTATCATTATTATTAATCTTATAATTACTACTTTTATCATTATCGTTCTGTTTAGTCTTAGCTGAGTCGTAAAGTGACAGACTTGTGCTATAGTTGTGTTTCTTTCTCTTAATGTGTGTCAAGCATAAAAATCAATTTTTTTCTTCGGGGCATACATGCAATTACAGACGACTTTCGGACGAAATTGCAATCAGATCCTGTGAAACGCCTCTACTATCTGCAGGATGTCAGGTGTATGGGAGACATGAAGAAGAAGTAAGTTTTCCTCAACTTTGTAAGATTTTTGTTAATGACGTATGGTAAACGACAATACCATCATGACAGTTCTAAATATTTTTTTTAAAAAAATAATTGTAAAAACTATTTTTAACACTTTAATCCACGAATCACAGCTTAGACGTGACACACTACACGCAGTGAGTCGCTCTCTTCTTTGACTATTCAAAAATTCGTGGTCCCTAATCCACATTTCATGTAAGAGATACCGTTCAGTCCTTCTCTTACACATTCATCCTATCATAAGAAACTGGACACTAGTACTTATGCTATATCTTTAGCAAGGAACGCCTTGCTATTTCTTGGCTGCCACGAAAACAACTTTTGTGAGTTCGCTGCTCATTTTATTTCCAAATTTGATCGTACCTACTCCAACAAGATTAATGGTGATATACTCCTGATTATGCCAAAAGTAACGGATCATTAGAAGCTTTTGACATGGAAATTAGAGAAGAACGTCCCTTTTTCATCAGACATTTTACTTCGATTACTCGAATCGTTGGCCTGTTTACCAGCGCAGGCAAGTTAATTTCTTATTTCGAATAAGCTTCACTGTGTTGCAATTTCAAGGAAAATTCCAAGGAATAGACAAAAATACACATAATCCTGAAGTGTCATTGCAAAATTTACAATACGTGCACGTTACGACACGAAAAGGGCTTTCTCCATTAACTTAGGATTCAAGACGAAGCTTGTAAAATTTTATCAATAATTTATCGGATATCACATGTTTTGTGGCTTGCTTTTATATGTATAGAATGATATGGCATGTTTGAGTTGTATATGTGGCTTTTGAGACAGTAATTTTCTTTACAGAGACCTAATCTGTTATTTCAGTTCAATACCTACAGAGAAGATTTCGAGAATTAGAAATATTTTAATAAGTTTAGTGAAGCCACTGTCATCATCATCTGTAAGAGATCCAGACGTCATGGGCTCTTGAAAACAATCGTTACTCTAATCTTCTTGTTTGAAAGGTGGGGGAAGGATACCATGTAAGAGAATTTCTCATCAAATATTTGAACATTCTTACTTTTTAAATATTGTATTTAGCCTTGTGGTGGACAGGTGTATTTCTGGCTGACCGAGATGACAAAAGGGTAGCTGCATACCTTATGTAAGAGTCATACAATTTTTTTATTATACAACACACTGGATAATGCCTGCATTTTTATTATTTCTTACTTAATTAATGTTGTTTATTATATTTTGTAAAATTAGATAGACTTTTGCATTTTATAATTTTAGAGTAATGTTGTGATTGGTTAATAGTCACCGTTGCACACCGTGTATTGAGTTATTCACCTTGCCTTATAGCTGGCTGTGAAACATACAAATGCAAATAGAGTTTAAAAATTTCAGGTATTGAGCAAAAAATGAGAGATTTTTTTATCTAAGTTGTATGTATTCTTATTTTTTTCAGGATATGTGGTTTTGCTGTTACTTTTTTGGAGATAACATTTATTTTGGACAAGTGTGCTTGTTGTGGGTAATGTATCAAAATAAATATTTCATTTTTTTTCTTTATAAATATAACAAACATGACAATTTGTATTCTGTTAGAATTGTGCTGTCAAATCTCTTGAAATAGATACCTCCATCGGACAAAACTTTGTTTAATTTGGATAGCAGAATAGCAAATTTTGATTTGAAATGTTATATTAACTCTTTCACTCCCAAGATTTAATTAGTAATTCTCCTTACTATCTGCCATACAATTCTAATGATGTTAGTACAGTATTAGTATTGGATTAACTAATAATCCCATAATTGATATTCTTCTCTATTCTCATCACCTGCCTGTTTGATATTGTAAGGAGAAATTCTGTCTTGGTCACTTGGGGGAATGAAAGGGTTAAATGTAACGTTTCAAATAAAATAAATATTGTATCATAAATGTTATGATACACTATTAATATCAGATTAAGTTAAGATCTGATTGAATCACTTTATTTCCTCTCTGAAAATTTACAAGCTTTCAAACACTAATTGTATTCAAATTTCCTTAAGAAGGGTTTTATAAATCTCAGAATCATTGTTGTCATATATCCCCTAACATCCATCAGCTAGACATCTCTTCAGGACAAACGTCTGCGGCTGGTTCAAACAGTGTCTGTCTTAGAGAGAGTTGATTATGACTTACTACAGACAACAAGTCTTGATAGAGGTGTTTTCAGTATTAAAGGTGTTGAAAGCAATCTGGAATTGCATTTGTTTCACTCTGTTTAAAGTGAATTTGTGATTGGTCTCGAAGGGAGCTCCAATTTTTTCTATGAATCATACAGTCAGGAGTACATGTAAATTGAAGTCATCAGCTCTCTCTTCCTCACATTTTCTCATATTATCTTGATCTAACACAAAATTCTTATAACTTATTTACAAGTAAATGTGTTGCAGCTAGAAGGGAGAATTAACAATCAGATCCTGGGAGTCAAAGGGCTAAAATACTCTCCCTAATGTTTCTGTTCATTTTCAGCCCCTGATCATAGCTTTCTGTTTGGTCTCCAACAGTATTATAAACAGTTATTCTTGTTAACCCTTTAACTCCCAAGATCTGATTGTTAATTCTCCCCTCTAGCTGCTACATATTTACCAGTAAATAAGTTATGAGAATTTGGTGTTATATCAAGATAACAACTTCTGCCTCATAAGTTTGAATGTTTTCATTACCTGTTTGCTGGATGATGTAAGGATATTATAAGGAGAAGTTTCATGTTGATCACTTCTGGGAGTAAAAGGGTTATTATATACCCAGACTTGTAAATTAAGATGCTTTTAAAGTAAAATGGATGAAGTTGTTAACCTCATTTTAATTTTTATGGCTTCTCATTTTTATCAGGGAAGGAAGTTGTGGCCAGGCTTTGTGGAAGTATGTACTAGCTGTTGATAACTGGAAGAAATCACTAATTTATACTTCATTGTCTGTCATGTGCTACTTGCATCCCAAGGAGTTCTGGCAAGCTGTAATTGTTGGGGTTTTACTGGATTTTACAGCATTGCTATATCTCATAAGAACTTTCAGAACCAAAAATGCACTTGAACCCTATAGATATAAACAACTAGAAGTTAGATAATAATTATTTGTCTCAAATCAAGCACATTCATTTGAAATGAGGCATCAAAGTTGCATTACATTTAATTACATAGTATTTAATACCATTAAGTATCATTGCAAGGCAGTTTGGCCTTGAGGCAAAGACTGCCTTCAACAAATAACACGATCAATGTAATCATGTAACAGATGTCTATGAAATGAAGTGTATTTTCATAGGGAATATTATTTATTAAATGCTTTCAATGCTTAAGCTTTGGAGAAATGAAAACTTTCATTGAGCTAATACTCTTGACTCAAGAATTATTAGACATTTTAATCCCATTTACCAATGTTACACTTAACATTACACACATAGGCATACAAGATATTCATTTCAAAAAACAAATATCTCATATAATATGTATAATGTATACTTCCAAACAAGATCCTTATATTTCACCCAGATTTTACTTTGCTAAGAAGAAATAGACCTGAAGCACATGAATCTAAGTAGCTTTGTTTTAGCTAATGTTTTAAATTATAGTATAGAAATAATTAGTACTACTAAAACTCCAATCCTAAAAATTGGGAATTTCATTGCTAAGGATTCATTTGATATTTCTTCATTATTGTTCTTTTTCCAATAAACTATCAATGATAGCACCATAGTTGTTTGTTTCTCCTAGAAAGCTAGTATTATTTATGCCAAACTTGAACCTCACCATATTAATTGATAAAGCCACACTTAATGTATTTAATTATATAAAAAGGAAAAAAAACATACATCAGGACTTTGTATGTCAGAAATCATCAATATGCACCTAGAGTTTGGAGTTTAAATTCCTAAAAGAAGGATTTAAACCAGAATCATTTTCACCTTATGAGCTGGTTGGATATAGATAACAGATTAAGCAACACACAATCTAGTGTCATTGTGAATTTAAGGGATAAAAAGGAAATTTTTGGAAACTATTAAGACAACTTAGCTTTCAGGATTATTAGCGAGGAATGATCAATTTCAAGGCTGTCGATTATTTATTATATTTACTCATTAGAGTTAAAATGATTGCCTGTGGTAATGGATTCATTCAAAATATTTACACAATCCAAATTATTGAATGTATATTTCCCTCTACTCAATGTCAACCATATGCAACTCTTATGTCTTTGAAAATAAAAAGGTCTCATTGCAAGTCAGTATGGAAAATGTTTAATTTAACTCTTCAACCAGTAAGAGTGACCAGAATTTAATTTCTCCATAAATTTTCACCCAGAATCACACATTAAGGTCACCAGAAGAAAGAAAATGACCACCGACTGAAAAGGCTCTTGATTGTTACACAAATTCTCCTTGTCAGCACCTTAGGAAATAAATAGACAAAAGTATGGAGAATATGCATACTGATGTTAAGGTGTACAGGCTGGAGAACGTTTGTTTAGGCTGAGTTCTTGTCTCTTTTGGTAGTTGCATCCCCGACCCTCTCAATCCTCTAAAAGAAAAGAAGTATTAACCGCGATATCTAACTCGTCACCAGGTGCATGACGACGCCAATTTGATTAATTAATGACAGGTTCACGGTGACGATGTTGGTGGCTTTCAAATGAAAGACGAAATTATTTTATGTATTGGGTGGTCTACAAATTATCAGGACAAAAAGGAACCACGAGCAAGGAATGATAGCTGAGATGAAGAAGTCTGCCAGCAAAAGGGAAACCTCTTTAAGTGTCTTGCGCGTAATTGTTAGGAAAGGCGTTTCAGTATCTTGAATAAATGTAGCTTAATTAACAACTAGCGCAGGGGGCAATTGAAATCGTTGCAAATGTCGTGGATGAGTGACCACAATCACTCCATCGTGAATTCAGCACCGATTTTATGGGAAATGGGCTCAAATAACGCCTTTAAAGTGTAAAGTGGAAACTCTGGTGAAATAGAAGTGTTGGAAAAAAAAGAACGCAATGCCTAAATGCCCGGCAGCATGGCAGTCGGTCTCAAATAGACTAAATGCTCTAATTACCATCGAAAGGTTCTTTCAAAATTCCTGGGAATATCCGATGTCTATTTGAAAATGTCAGGCGATTCCACAAATTAACTTGTTTTTTAGTGGACAAATTCTTCGAGCTTGAGCACACCGTCGATATGCACCTAGATTTTCGCTTCTGAACAGACTGCCATTTATTCGTTGGGTATTTAGTCTAATTTAGACCGTTCCTGGCTGCTGGGCATTTCGTCACAGAGAAAAAAGAAACCAAGGAAGAACTTCTTCTTACTATTAGCAAAATTAACGGCTGACACAAGCCTTGTAGAATGAAGATTTCAACCTCTTCTGCACTTAAATTGGCCTTAATGATTAAGACTTTACCAATATGACCTTATAATGCCTTTCAAGGGGGAAGAGTGGAAAATGCAAACTCCAAGCGGAGTGGTTCTTCAAATAAGCCAGGTAGCGTATCAAGGATGTTTGATACTTGGACACAACCTGAGAGAAGGTTATGTCGGCAACCACCGCCTCTTCCGAGCATATTAAAATAAATCTTTTTTCGATGGATATACGATATATTGCATACCCAACTGCAAGTGAAATAAGTCTACAGAACTATTTTCGTGACTGGAAAGAGTTTAAGAACAGGGCGACTCGACTCGATATCACCCTTAATCCCTACTTTGATTGTTCTTGAGAAAATTCGAGATCTCCGCTTAACAGGTATGATTTGACTTTGGAAAGTGAGGATTTTGTTAACTAGATCTTCAGAAGTAAAACTATGTTGCATTTCAATAAAGGGGGTAAGTTTCTATAGAAACTGTGGTGCTGCGTCGATGGGAGAGTATAACAGGGTAATTGAGTGTTATCAACCGAGTTGATAACGTACTGACTAGCTACCGTAAGGAGTTTGAAGGCTGAAGTTTCCAGCGTTTCGAGCGTCAGCCCTTCGTCTGACAAAGGACTGGTGCTCGAAACGTCAGCCTTTAAACTCTTTATGGTGGCCGGTTTACGTTATCAACTCGGCTGATAACACTAAATTACTATGTTGCATTTCAGTCGATCATGCTGAACCAGACCCTTGCTTAATGAAGAAGAATGACGGAAACGAGCTCGCGAAAAGTGTTAGTGATCGCATTCGATTTTCTCCTTGTTCGCCTTGCCTTGAGGCTCGTTCTCACTATTTAAGAATGCCAGAACAGGATCAGATCAAGGTCAGAAGTATACACACCAAAATTCCCGTGGCTTGCGTGGAATCCCGCGGGTCAGAGATACTTGCGTTCGAGAAAACTGATGACGTCACTACTAACTGATCCGAAGCCTTGTCTGATGGTCTATCTTGGTGGCCATGTTGTACGCCATCTTTGCAGAGGCTACTTTCAGGAGAAGATTGTCATGATTCGTTCGAAATGCCGAAGGATAAGCATGAAAATAATGATGTTCGAAGAAATTATACTTTGATGAGTCCCGAGGATGTAGCTAACGGCAAAAAGTCGAAATGGACAGAACTGGAAATTACGGCTACGATTCGTAATTTGAGCCCGTCATTATGGCGGTTGGATTTCTTAACTGCGTTGTTCTTAAACGACAATCATCTCACAAAGATTCCTCCAGAAATCTCCAAGCTTGCTCAGCTCAAGCACTTGGATTTATCATCGAATAAACTACGAAGTTTGCCCAGCGAACTTGGAGATCTGGTCACATTACGTGAGCTCCTTTTGTGCAACAATAGTCTGAGGCTTTTACCTAACGAACTCGGAAAACTTTTCCAGTTACAAACCCTTGGATTGCAAGGAAATCCCTTACCACAGGATGTTTTAACTATAAATGAGGAAAAAAATGGAACAGCCAAACTTCTAGGCTTTATGCTGGATAATTTAGCGGGTAAGTAAACTTAGTGTAAACATCTGAAGAAGCGAGAGTTTTTGTGGTGTCAATTCTATATTTATCACTGTCAGAGTAAGATCTTGACCCAAATAGTCTCGCTTCTTATTTTATTTCAACTTCAACAGTCTTATGTGCTGTTTTTTCTCAAGGTAAGTTGTCTGTTGGACAGAACTGAATTATTTGCTTGCGAACGGTGTTTTCTTTGTGTGTGGCACGAGGTTCGTTCGCATAATAGCGTTCACGAGGCATCGAATTTGCGTTATATTGATCGTTCTTTTCAAAGATTCGGTAGTACTTTCGTGAGCAATATATTTCATATGAAACTCTTAGGCAAATTCTACAGTCAACAAACTGAGATCTTAGTCTAATCCTTATGTTAAACATCGTGAGTTTATCGTGATCGAGGTCGTTTGTATTAAGAAAACGAAAGTAGACCCTCTTGGCTCAACGAACAATAACCGTTTGAAACCGCCATTTTTAGTAGTAGCCCCACTTTCAAGCCACAATGGATTGCTTTGTGATAGCTGTTGAATCAATCTTAAGCTTAAAAGATGCAATCGGAGGGTTATCTCTTGTCATGTGTATAGTTATTCCTGTGTAATTTATTTTCAAAGACTGCATAAATGATGGAACTTTCGGCAGTCCGGAAGTAGATTTGTGCAACTTATTTTCTATGTTGGTTAATTTTCTTTTTCATTATCTCCGCTTAATTAATGTCATTTAGGATTTATTCCTGATCATGTTGCTGTAAAGGGATATTTTGATTCTCAAGCAGCAAACCTGTATGCAAAATGGGTTTCAAGATTATTTACCTGGGACTGATTTTAATTTGGGCTGAGTGGGTCTTAGTTTATTTGACAGAAAAGTCACTAGATTTGAAAACAAGCTCTCTATGGAAAGTCCATGTATTGGTTAATGTTTTCATTCTTTAATTTTAGCAATTGAATTCAGGGAGTTTGTACTAAAACAGGCTAAAAAAAGAATTCGATGTCATCTTAAAGTTTAATATAATGTCAATTCACATGCATCAAAGTTAGCATCTTCCTGTAAATTCAAGATGTAGCTTTTCCATTTTGCCCTCCTCTGGTTAGGATTACTTTTTTGGTATATTGCTCTTTGCTTCTTCATTGAATTGAAAGTTGGCATAGTTTAAGGTACCTTTTAACCCGTAAAATTATTTCCAAACAGTTTGAGAGAGGTTTTTGTGGCAACAGCATTTTCAATGTTGTTTTATGCACTAAAAAATCAACGGATGCTTCATTGAACCCCTTTGTGGCAGAATTAATTTAAAGGTTTTTTATTTGCCTTAAGTTTTATAGATCAGTTAATTTTGTAGACCAGTTCAGATGTCCTCTTTTAGTTTCTTTTTTTTTTCTTTTGAAGTACAGTTGCCTATGTTCTCTTTTCAAGTTTGAGTTTGGTAAGCATCACAAGAGATAATGAAAATAATGATATCTGTAAGATGTCAGTGCACCAAGTTGTAACCATTTTTGTTACCATGGCAAGTGAAAAATATCTTTGAAAAATCTATTGATGTTTGGTTGAATTATCAAACGAATAAATGCTAGGAACTCTTGTCTTTCCCTTTTTTGACCTTTCCATTCCACAACTCCCACATACTAGTAAACCTAAAATGATTGTATACTGAGTTGAAGCCAAACTGTAATTGTATATCCTTCTGAGGAGCAAAACTTACACCCATTGGGGAAGAGCCTGTTTCTTTGTTGACATGCTTCAAGGAAAGTGGGTGATTTGCCATGCTGGTCAGCCCTTTGGCAGCAAAATCTAGGCAAAATCAACGTGAAAGGATTTACCATAAATTTATGATAAATTTATTTTGTTGGAGAGTATGTCTGTGGGACAGTCTTAGAGAGTAAAATCTGAAGATCTTTTTTCCCTTTGGAAAGAACAATTTAGAGCTAGATACGAGTGAAGCTGTCAAGTGTAAATGATTTTGCAAGTGTTGTGTTCAGAATCTTGTTCCAAAAAGATAAATTAAAGCGATCTTCAAGGCTTTTCTTTAACAGGAATGGCCAAAAATTGAATTGCCTTTTTATTTTCAAGAAACATGAGATAAATGAGGGGTAAACTGAGATAATAGGTTTTCAGATCACTCTTGCTAGTCACTGCCAGCTTCTGTCTCACATTGCGCAAATTTTAAGGCAAAAAGCAAAAGTAGGTGAATGTAGTAGAATCCCACTAACTTAAACTCCCTTTCAAACACGAGCAATTTTTTTGTTTTCCTTGGGAATTTGAGTTAGCAGGGTTCTACTCTAATACCTAATCAGAGGCTTCTGCAGGGTTGCTAGCAGTCAGAAAAGAGTGTGAAGA